ACTGATACCTTTAGACTCCTGCTCCTAGATGCACACTGTGCTCAGGACATGCTCCCAGCTTCCTCTCAAACCTTGAGAGATACCTAGAAGGGTAGCAGAGTTACAGCCATGTGCACGTAAATGAACTTCGCTGCTTGAGCTAGTGAGCAAGGCCTGGGGACCCTGACCTTCAGAAAACCCTGCAGTTTCTCACTCGGGGTGCCCATGGGGTACCCCGAGGTAGCCTGCAGCTAGCAGTCAGCACCTGTGCTGTGCCTTGATTGTGGTTAGGTTTTAAAAGGCCCTTGAGGGTCCCTGTGATTGCTGTCAGGAGGAATCTGGGGAGAAGAGGAGAGAAAGCTGGCTTCAGTGCGTGTGCACTTTGTGGACCAGAGTCCTCACATTTAAAGCTGAGCGCCCTTCTGTGCTGGCTATTTTGTGCATGCTGGTTGCTGCCCTGGCCTTGGCTGCTCCAGGGAGTCCACCAGGCCGGCCCAGCTCCTGCTGCTCCTCTCTAGGCTGCACTCTTGTCTCCTGGCTTAGTTTTCAGCCCTTGGCCTACAGGGGACTCTGGGGGCCTCAGCTTCCCTCTCTCCATTCACTTGTGGGAACCATGCCTGGCTTGCAGTTCCATTCAGAGCCTTGTGCTGGAAACCAGGCACACTGAGAGGTTCCTGCCCAGGGGGAGGAGCTGGGCTGAGGCTGCTCCCAGAGTCTCAGGAAGCACCAGGGCAGGCGAGGGCGCCCGCTTACAATTCTAGGTCATTTCCTTCCACTTGTGTGTGGAGCTTAGATTTTTTAAACAATTCATATTTGAAGGCATGATTCAAGGTTTTCTGATTTGTGCAGGTATTAGTTGCCTTGCAAGATAATTAAAAATAAATAAAAATGATCTATAATTAGCTCATTAACCCATCAGTTAATGGATGCTTTGAAGAGGATCATTGACCCCTCAGCATAGTGGATGCTGGTGCTGTCATTTGCCTAGCTTGCTCTCCTGGACTGGGTTAGTATTTGCCTCCTTCCCATGTGTGTACGCTAGCAGTCTGACTCAGTTGTTTCACTGTAATTGCGTCAAAGCATGGCATAAAATCTGAAAATACAGTCGTTAACGCTGGGTGCTTTTACCAAAGCATTGTTTTCTTGCAAAAATGCAGGCAACAAACAGGGAGCTGGAGTGAGGGGCCTCTGATTTCTGAGACACTACTGAAGCTTTAAAGGAAGAGTTGGAGGAATGTGGAGAGGAGAGAATAAAGTAACAGCTGTTGACAGCGGTTTCTGGTACTTTCTGTTTCATTTTACTGGCTAATGGGAAAGACTGGGGACCAGAGTCACATCACGGTTCACAAGATCACTTTTCTAGTAGCATTTGGAATTCCCAAGATTCGTGGGCAGTGTTACAGGTAAACTGAGGCAAGTGGGCAATGGGCCTGGGTGCTGAGTGTGGTGCTTGGCTAGGTAGGAGGGCCGATGCTCTGTAGCACATCTTCTGGTGGCCAGGGCTTTAGCTGTTGAATGGCTGGGACCTACCCCCACTCCCAGGGGGCAGCTCTTTCTCCCTGCTGTAAGTGCTGGTGAGTGAAAGGTGACCTTGCAGCACAACAGCCACCTGGGCCCGAGGCCTGGGGAAGCACCTGAACAGGCAGTGCTGAAGCGGGCTCCTGCTCCAAGAGCGCTGCTCGCCTCCTGTGGTTTCCTTGACCCACCTCTGCACTGGGGCTATGGGTGCTGCCCCGAACCCACGTCTTTGCCTCTTACTGTCACAGTGCCTGTGCCTGCCTGTCCTTTTGTAGAGTGTAAAGAAGTCATCTTTAGACACACAAAAAGTTGTCATTGAAGGAGCCAGCGTGGCTGCACCTGGTAGTGTGGGCCAGTGGCCGTTGTCAGTGTCTCAGAATCCTGCTGCCTCATGTATTGTGAGGCTTGCCGGGTCCTTTTGCTACACTACAGCAAACCCCTTCTAAGGCCAGATCTAAGCTGAGGGAAGCTCTGTTCTTGGTGCTGGCCAGACGCCCACCTGCCAGGGCTCCAGGACTCGGTGAGGAGGAGGGGTAGCCCCAAGGCCTGCATCGACTCTGCTTCTGCAGAACCCTTCCTGGAAAGTCCCTGAAGGCCTGTGCCAAGCCTGTGCCAAGCTCCCTCCCACTCTGCGAAGCCAGCTATCTGTCCCATGCCCATCCACCAGCCTTCCTGGCTGCCTATGTTGGGAGAAGTCACACTGCATGCTGGAGGGCAGCAGGAGCATCCCAGGCCTCTTGGGTCCTCATCACTTCCTGCTGGCTCTGAGGCGCCCTCTGTGGGACCTGTGGCCATGGAGGTTAGTGGTGTGCCGTCCTGGCGTCAAAGTGTCCTTTATTTGGAGTCAGAGCTGAAATTGAGCTTTGAGAGGTTGATGACGGAGTTGTCTGTGGAGCAGGAGGCTGGCGTTTTCTTGCAGGCATCTCCTCAGCTGTGCCTGTCTCTGGAGGTTGCCTTCAGAGAGACACAAACCGATTTCCTGTTTTTTGTTGAGGGGCAGAAATCATTAAAAGTGTGATTCAGTGGAAAACCTTTGAGACCTGAAAACGATGTGTCCTCAGTGCTGGAGACTTACAAAGGAAAGCGTGTTGACTGCGTGGTGCTGGTGGCCAGGCACAGTTGGAAGTGCCACTTATTGTGGGCCAGTTGCCCCGTGCTGGTGGGTTCAGTATCTGTAGTCAGCCACATGCAGATGGAAAATGCTCAGAAAAGACAGAGCCTATCCAGAATACGTACGGACTTTTTTATGCCATTGTTCTCTGACTGAGTGTAAAGCTGTTCATACAGCACTGTGCTGGGTACCGCGGGTAATGCAGAGATGATCTGGTGTGTGGGAGGGTGCAGGAAAGCTCTCTGCAAGTACTGGGCTGTTTCATGTGTCGCCTGGGACTGGCCAGGGTCCCAGGACCTTTCTGTACCACCGCCAGGGTGTCTGGACGCCGCCATGAAATTACGTGCCATTCCCAAAGCAGGCGATTGCTGTTAGTGACTGGTAAATAGTTCCAAATGTTTGGTGCTGTTTACATTTTTTTTATTAAATGTTCTTTTGTTTCTGATGACATCAAGATGACCAGCGAGGGGTGAAATGCTATCCTGTTTAGGGGATGTAGGTAGCACGACAACGTGGTAAGTGGGATAGCCTGGTTAGTTTATTCTGCACGGGACTCATCCCGGCCTGGAGTGAGTACTGTCTTTGTGCATGGAGCCCTGCCCTTTCCTCCCTGGGCTTCCTTTCTGGGTATATGTGGCCTCCGCTAACCAGTGAGGGCAGAGGATGCTGGAGGACTGGGGCAGCGGGGTCCATGCCCTCAGATTTTCCTGGATGGATTCTGTCCCACAGTTCTCTTCTTGACCTGTGATTGGCCTTGCTGCCTGGCCCTCAAGTGTCCGCAGAATTGGAGCAGGAGTCAGCCATGGCACTTCATGTCTGCCTAGGTTTCATATTGATGTTGGTTAGACTATTCTGTGTCCAGCTCTGTCCACAGGGTACTCAGGCCTACCCCTGAGTCTTTAGTAGCTTCTGGAGTCGTGTGGTGCCTTGGTGGCCCTGCTTGCCCAAGGCAGGCCCTGCCTGGGGTTTGCCCAAACTTCTTGCTCAGCACTGTCACCCACGCAGCACTGCCAAGCAGGCAGTCCAGGCCCAGAATTCATCCTGTGAGAACATGCTGTGGCCTTTATCACCTAGTACGTTGTTACAGGCATAGCAGTAGGCAACTGTGTGGGTCCCATTTCTCACCAACTTCAAAAAGGAATGGCAGTGGTGTTTCCTTACTGATAGGTTGCAGTGCTGATGTCGGGAGGTCCTGGTGCCCTGACACGTGCGGAGGCTGTGGTTCTGTTGTTAGAGGTGCCTGTTGTCTGTGCACAAGTGAGCACACATCCGACCCGACACTGTGGGTGGGCAGTCTCTGTGTAGACTGCAGGATGTGTCACCCTGCCGGCTCCCCAGAGTCCGAGCAGGTGGTGGAGAGGCTGCTTCCATTGTTACAATTTCAGACATGCAGTCCTGAAGAGGAGGTTGACGGTGCACTGCAAGTGAGACCTGGAGTGACATTTTGGCACATTGGAGCGCTCTGCTTATAGACCTTTTAATGGGCTAAATTTGTGGGGCTGTTGATTGAATGCATTAGCATACCAGCTTCCGTGTTTCTATGACTTTGGGCAGTTGTGTCTTTGTTAGCAGGTCTCTGAGTTCATATATACTCCCGCCTGCAGTGCAGCACCACGGGTACTGAACTGGTGCGGCTGCCAGTGGTGTGGGAGGCGAGCCACTCACACGCTGGTCTCACGGAGAGCCCTGCAGGGCAGCGACTCAGGGCCATGTGGGACACCACCAGGCACCTTGCTCATGGGAGAAGCCTCCTGGCTGCTGTGCTCAGTCTGCTGATGGGAGATGTTGGAGCCTGGTAACTAACACCCGCGGCTACGTTCTGACCAGTGGACCTGACATGCAGGACAGGCAGGTGCCTGTGGGAGTTGTTAGAAAGAGAAACTCCACTTCAAAGAAACCTGCAGTGTGGTGTGTTTTAGAAAAATTGCATCATTTTAATGTTGCATGAGTTACTACCTTCCTGGGTCTGTTGAGCAACTTGTGGCTGTCTGCACTGGGTATATATGTCTTCTGTCCTTTACATTCTGACCTTTACACAAACTGTTACCCTAGCTAGTGTAGCTTTAGAGCTGAGGGCTCGCGCATCAGGCTGGGGTCCGACCCACCCTTGGTGACCTGCCGTCCTGCACCGCATGTGTTGGAAAGTCTCTGTCTTGCTCATGGATGCACCTCTCTCGTTTTCTTACTGTAACCCACAGAAGTGGTTCTTTCGATTCACTGTGTTCATGGTGCCAGGCGGTGTGTAGTTTCATCTACCACCATATATTTCTGGTAGGGAAAGAAGCCGAATTATAAGCGGCCTGAAAAGTTCTAGGGCACATGGACCTTATAGACTGGAAAGCATCTTCAGTTGAGTTGTAACTCTAGTGTGTCCTCTTTTTCTGTCCACTAGCCTTCACGAGGAGATCATCGACTTTTATAACTTCATGTCCCCCTGTCCTGAGGAAGCAGCCATGAGAAGAGAGGTGGTGAAGCGGATCGAGACTGTGGTGAAAGATCTGTGGCCCACGGCTGACGTGAGTCTGCTGTGTCCCGTGCTGCATGCTGTTTCCCTTGCTCCCTGCACTGGCTGGGTTTCTCCTTAGCCTGAGGCATGGACTGGACCTGTCAGGAATGCGCAGCCCCAGGCCCGCTGGCCCGTGTGGTCCCTGCTGAGTGACAGGTCTTTGCAGGCCCAGGCACCTTGGCCTAAGGTGTGATTAATCTTGTTTGGAATCTCCCACCCTCACCCCTCAGGCCTAGCGGCACAGGATGTGTTGTGTTGAGGAAATGGAAGATTTCCTCTTGCCTCCGAGTCCTGAGTAGTGATGGAGCTGCTGATCCTGGGCATTGGGAACTTGTGCTGTGGGCACCATGAACCATGCCCTCTGCCCAGGAGCCTCCTCCCTTCTTGCTGAGCAGCCAACCTGTGCGAGTGCTGGTGACCTTACTGCTAAGGGGCGCAGGTGCTCTCAGGCTGTGTGGCAACCCAGCTGCCTGTCCTTGGTTAACAGGGACACAGGCTTCCCTGTAAACCTCCATACCAGGACAGAGTCCTGCTCCACACTGTGGCTGTTTGAGAAATTATTGGAAGGTTTGAAACTGGCTCTGAGAAACACTTGGCTCTGGGAGAGTATGGGATGAAGGCAGTAATGGTTTTACTTTTGAGTTTTAAACTTCTTTGTGGGGTTGGTTTTCAGAAATAAAGGGACTATTTAGTTTTTTGCATAGTTTCCACCTGTCTTGCCTCCGCACTCCTTTGCCCAGTGTCCAGGTGATTTTCCTGGAACTGGAGGATGCAGCAAGGCTTCCAGTAGTCAGGCTGATGGGACTGTGTGCTTGCGCTGTGGCCATGTTCTAAGACAGCCACGGTTTCTTCCAGGTGCAGATATTCGGCAGCTTCAGCACGGGTCTCTATCTTCCCACCAGGTGAGTGCTGGGTCCCTGCACAGGTGGTGTTTGCTGACTGGGCCAGGTGCTTCGTAATCTGTCTGAGGTGCAGAGGCCAGCAAGAGGAAAAAATTGGGAGGCAGGGGAGATTTGGTAGAAAGTAAGTTTTAATTTAGGGCTATAGAAATAATTTGATTGCCTTACATTTTTCCTCATGCACTCACTTTATTGGGGTGCAGAAATGCTGGGCACTAAAATAGAAAGAGATGACAAATGAAAGGATTTTCTTAGTCCATTTCCTGCTACTGTAATAAAATATTGCAGCCTGGGTAGATTGTGAACAGTAGAAGCTTATTTGGCACAGATTCTTAAAGCTGTAAAATATAAGATCCAGGGATTAGAAATGTCCTTCGTGCTGTGCCCTATCATGGTGGACATAAAATGATGTTCCAGCATTCTAAAATGATGTCCCAGTGTGCAAGAGAGAGTGAACAGTGAACAGACTGGGGAGATAGCTCAGCGGTCTAAGCTCCTGCCTGACAGGAGCAAGGACTGGAGTTCACTCCTGGTACTGCATGCCATGCCAGCCCTGGAGTCCCAGGTGTGCAGAGCCAGCCGCTGAAACCCAGTATGGTGGCTCATGCCTGTAATCCCAGCTCTGGGGAAGCTGAGACAGGAGGGTCACTAGCGTCTGAGCTGCATAGTGAGACCCTGTACTAAATAAATAAATAAATGCGAGCAAGTGAGCTCTAGTGTCAGAGCCCGCTTCTAGACTCGCAGTCTTGATTTAACAGCCTTGATCTGCTGACAAGCAGAGCCCCTGCGACCTGAGCGCCTCTGAAGACCCCGCTCTCAGCTCCTGGGCCGGGCAGTCTGTCTCTCTGTGTGAGCCTGGGAGTGGTCTCTCCAGACCGTCCCAGGACCATACAGAGTAAATGCAGTGGAGAAGAGTCTGCTGATGCTGGGATAGCTTTGAAAATTTGATTTTATAAAGTTTTATTTTTTATTTATTTATTTTTTTGTGGTAGCAGAGATTGAACTCAGGACCCTGCACTTGCCAGGCAAGCACTTATTCTACTGAGCTATCTCCCCAGCCCTGGTTTTATAAAGTTTTAACGAGGATTAAAAAACAATGTTTAAACAATACCTTTTTGAGAATTCTTGTATGATAGAAAAATGTGCAGTTTGTAATCTCAAATGAGGTTCCAGTGTTCTCCATGAAGGACCCTGGACATCCACGTGTGCTTCACGTAAGTCCTTCGTCCTTGGCTCTGCTGACCCTCGGCATCTCGCCTATGGAGGCTGAGGAGGCTGTGAGGTCAGGGTTTGGCGGTTTGCAATGTTGGTCATGGGAAAGCCAAGTGCTGGATCGATTGTGTGCTGGTGAGGGGAACATGGGCGTGTGAGCTAGGAAAGGAGCCGGGGCTTAGTTTGAAGTGAAGCATTTTTGTTTTAGACCTTATCCCTCCTCCCAGTGCTCCTGCGAAAATCTTTCAACTGGTTGCTGTAAGAGTCTGTAAGCTGCACCACACCTCCCTAAGGGGATGGGGCCAGGCAGACGAGGGAGGCCGCGTGCTGCTCGTGGGTACCTCCCACACGCAGGTCACCACACAGAGAAATGAGTAGCACTTGACCTGGACCCTTTGTTCCCCCAGTGACATAGATCTGGTGGTCTTTGGAAAGTGGGAGCGTCCTCCTCTGCAGCTGTTGGAGCAAGCCCTGCGGAAGCACAATGTGGCGGAGCCGTGTTCCATCAAAGTCCTTGACAAAGCCACAGTGAGTGTTGGACTTGTCCCTGCCAGCACACAGCCTCACTTTGATAAGCCCTACTGACTGGGTGGCCTGGCTGATGGTAGTCACTGGCTTTGCTTGTGCAGTTGCTGCTGCTGCTGCTGCTGCTGCTGCTGCTGCTGCTGCTGCTGCTGCTGTAAAATGTACTTGTTACCCTTCCAGATTCCCAGCACATTCGTGACAGTCTGCAGGGCTGGAATTTGGACCCATTGATGGGTGACAGGAGATTTCCACTTGCTAAGATTTTCTTGGGAGTCCTATGGCCTGCTTGCTGTGGGCACGAGTCCGCCGCCCTGCCCTTGCTGGCAGATGTGGTCATTTTCCACGGTGTACACTGGCAGCCGGTGTCTCCAGCCCTCTGACCCTGCTGTCCTTTGCCCATTCCTGTTTGAAACAAGTGAATGAAAACAAAGCTTCTGGACGGCAGAGCAGTGGACGGGGCTGGTGCAGGTTTCCTCATTTAGATGCAGCACAATTGGACCTGATTGGCTGGATTCCAGAAGCACCCTGTGTACTTTTTACCGTGGCAGCTCTTGGTCCTGGTGACCTCACTGCTCTGGCGTGGAATCCTCTTTTGTCATCTGCGCGTGTTCTCTTTTCCACTGGGCCCCCTCCCTGAGTGACATCTCCCCTGCTGGGTGAGGGCTCTGTTCAAGGTGTGGTCTGTTAAAACAAGCACTCCAAACTAAGTCCCACAGTGTTGCTGCCCTTTTCTAGAATCTGAGTGTGTGCATTAACTTTTTAAAAACATTCTACCACATAGAAGCTGGGGCGCTGTCCCAGCACACGTGCTGTGGCCTCTCTGTGGGTGCATGTGTGGTGTGGCCTTGCTGCCTGATCCTCTTCCTAAGGATGCCCATTCCTTCTGTCCAGCAGAGTGGCTTGCCGGTGGGCAGAGTATGCGCACTGCTGAGCGAGGGCCAGGGCTGCAGTGCATCTCATGTTAACTCCTCGAAAAGGCCTCTTCTCTGTGATACGGGGTCCATGCTCTCTGAGCTCTTCTAAAAGCTCTGTACAGCCAACTCTGGAAACGTCTTGGTGCCTCACTGAAGCTTGCTGCATATTGAACAACAGTTTTTAGTTTTTGGTGTTTTTTGGGTTTTTTTTGGCAGAATCGGGGATTGAACTCATGCCCTTACGCTTGCCAGGGAAGCATTTATTCCACTGAGCCATCTCCCCGGCCCCTGAACCACACTTTTTAAATTAAATCTTTACAGGTACCAATAATAAAGCTCACAGACCAGGAGACTGAAGTTAAAGTCGACATCAGCTTTAACATGGAGACTGGCGTCCGGGCAGCTGAATTCATCAAGAACTATATGAAGGTACTGGAGTCAGCCTGCGTGCATCATACAAACAGGAACTTGAGCTAGGCTCCCGGTGGCTTTAAAGGAGCATCGGAAACTCCTGGCCTGGCTGTAGAAGTCACTAGTGATGCAGACCTACACCGGCACATTTATCTTCCAGTGCAGTTTCTGTGGACGCTTAGAAAGTACTTTGCTGGTGTTGTGGTCTGCTTTTCTTGAGTACCTACCTGATCCTGAGCTCAAGCCTCACTGCTGAGCTCTGTGGGATGATCTTTATAGTCATTTCGCAGGATCTGCTCCCAGCGCATGTGTTCCTTCTGCCAGTCCTGCGGGAGCCTCTGGGAGATCCAGTCATGGCCACGTAACTCAGATCAGTCCCTTCAGAGACCAAGGGACTGTGGGTGCCACAGCCCACGTGGCACTGAGCTGATGAACTTGGGCTCCTCCCTCTGGTCCACCCCAAATGGGGTCTGGCCTGTTTTTTCCTCAAGGCCTGGGTGGGCGAGCATTCTGTTCCCAGTACACCCTGGCAAACACGAGGAGCCTGCCAAGCCCAGCCACTCTGCCCTTCTGCTTTCCTCCCAGAGGGAACACCCTGCTCACAAGGCCCCCACTTCCACCCACCAAGTCGCCACCTGGGCTGGGTGCCTAGCAGGCTTCACCTGCTCCTCAGGAAATGGTGCCTTTGGCCACTCAGGTTGATGCTGAGCGACCCAGAGCTCTGCAGTGGGCAAGAGAACAGGTGAAACTGCTCGATCCTGGTGTGCTCCTGAAATAGCTTTGAGTGTGTGAACTAATCAGCGTGTCTTTTTCTTTTGGGATTTACAGAAATATTCATTGCTGCCTTACTTGATTTTAGTATTGAAACAGTTTCTTCTGCAGAGGGACCTGAATGAGGTTTTTACAGGTGGAATTAGCTCATACAGCCTCATTTTAATGGCCATCAGCTTTCTACAGGTACGCTCACCGTCTCGTGGGACTGCGTGTAAGAGGGTGGGTGGGAGGGTGGCCTCCTGCCGATCCCTGGCTGGCTGCTCCTGGGGTGCAGTGCACCTTGCTGTCACCGTTCCGCAGTGCTGTTCTCATGTGGCAGTGGTTGGCATCTGGGTTATGTTGTAGAACCTCTGGGCCAACACTCCTGTCCTATTGTTCTGTGCTCTTCATTTCTGTTGCTGACTTACTGCCTGGTGCAAGGTGGTCCTTGGGCTTTTGAGATTCTGTGATACTTTTTGGGCTGAAGAAGTCTTTACATTGAGAAAGTGTTCATTTCTTTAGGGACAAGAAGCTTTTATTTTTTTCAGTAGTGAGCTCTTACCTGTGATTTATGCTGAAAATAATTCAGGCCCCGGTGACACAGGTGTGGGGTCTGTGCAGCCATCGTGGCCCCACAAAGGCCGTGCCCTGCCCTGCGCTTGACCTGTGCTGTGTACCTCGCACACTCTCGCTTCAGCCTATGAAGGGGGGGCGGAGCCTGTGTGGGGCCGTCTCTGCAGGGCTTCATTCCAATTAAAGGCAGGGAATAAGGGATCCAGATGGTGCACACTTAAGGAGGCTCTGTGCCCCTGTGGAGTACCTACGCGCATCCTCGGAAGCCGAGATTCCCTTGGCTGAGAATGCAGTGACTTGCGGTGCCCCTGCCAGTGCAGCGAGGTCTCCCCTCAGGACTGGCCACAGGGTGAGGCTGGCACTGTGCGGTGGAGTCTGCACTGCGCTGCCAGCGCTCTGTGTGCCAGCCCTGCCGAGGCCACAGGCCATGTGTGGGCCTATGTGCTGGGCATGTTGAGCGTGACTGACAAGCTGCATGATAGCCAGCTGGTTTAATCCAGCTAAGTAGCAAAGCTGCGTGTGAACAGCACAGTCTGCATGGCTGAGGACTGTGTTAAGTCAGCGCGGCCTGGGGCTGGGGTTCATTGAGGTCAGTGGGGCCTGAGGAAAGCGTGCCGCAGCAGGCTGGGCTCCTGTGGGCTGGCTGAGGAGGAAGTGCGTCGGGCTAACGCGCTGGGCCTGCAGCTAGTCTGTCTCGTGCTGCCACCTACTGGTTGTGTTGTAGAATGACTGCCATCTACGACCACTTCTGCCGTCCAGTTGACTCAAGTGTGCAGAGCAGGGTCAACTGACTTAGTGCAGAGTGTTTGACAACCTGTGTCTAATCAGATGTCTGTGTTTGTAGGGGGATGCTGTATAGGTTCCTAGTTTTAAGACTTTAAGCGTTCAGATGTTTGCTTCTTTGGAGCACTCATTATGGACAGTGACAGTCCAAGTTCTGCTGGTGGCTGCATGCTGCTGGCCAAGCTCCCGTAGGCCTGCCGCTCAGTGTGGTCCCTGCAAGGGCGAGCAGTGCCATCATGTGTGTCCCCTGTAGGACTTGACTGGGATCTGTGCAAACCATGCCTGCATTGCTTTTACAGTTGCATCCAAGAATTGATGCCCGGAGAGCTGATGAAAACCTTGGAATGCTTCTCGTAGAATTTTTTGAACTATATGGAAGAAATTTTAATTACTTGAAAACTGGCATTAGAATAAAAGAAGGAGGTGCCTACATCGCCAAAGAAGAGATCATGAAAGCCATGACCAGCGGTTACAGACCGTCCATGCTGTGCATCGAGGACCCGCTGCTGCCTGGTAAGGGCACAGCTCTGCCGGGCGTGGCACAAGCCGGCGGGCAGCATTGGGCCCGCGGGGAGGCTGCATCGGGCCTGGCGCCAGGGCGGAGCCTCTGCTCTGGGGACACTTTCTGAGTTCCTTGTGTAGTTCTCCATTAGGCTTATTTAATCAATTGGAAATCAGAGGAGAAGGGTTATGGCTTTCATCTTGCAGAGTATTACCTATTGGCTGTGAAGCACACACTTCCCAGGAGGGGGCAGCCCAGGCCGCGAGTGTGTACACTCTGCCCTGTGTGGGTGTGCCAGTCTCCCAGTGTCTGCTGTGTTGGTGTTGATGTCATTGCTGTCATCTTATGAGCGACACTGCATGCCGCAGCACAGGCCTGCAGCTTGGGTGGAGACTGCATAGTGTCTCCAGCCTATCTGGCGTGGGCCTCGGTTCCACCGTGAGGAGGGTGGCCCCCGTGGAAACTCCAGGGTGGGCTCCAGGGGTCGGTGCATTGATGGAGGCTCAGGACCTTCAGCAGCGGTCTTGCAGCCTTTGCGAAGCTGATGAGACCATATCGTGTAAATTTTCATTTAATTTGCATTTCATTAATGATAGTGGAGCTCGACACATGGATATTTATCAGTTCCACGTGTTGACTGAGCTTCTGTTAGGTGAGATGCGGTTCCTACTGTTGGTGACAGAATCTGTGGCCGAGGGACAGAGGCAGAGGAGAAGGCCAGCTCCAGGCGCTCTGCCCCTTTATCCTTCGGCACCCTGCTGGTCTGTGCACTGTCCTCGGGATGTGCTAAGGAGACTTTTCTTGTCACCTGTTTTCTTTGCCTGATGTTTTTGATTTATGTTTGATATTCTTATTACTCCATTGTGTATTTTTTTTTGTATTGATATCTGCAAATCTAATTATTTGTTTTGTGGTTTCTAGGGTATGAGATCCATATCCTAAAATTGTTTGACAGCAGATCCCATTTTGTCGTGATTTGTGGATGACATGTTTTATGCCTTGGTTTTCCTAGTGGTGTCACCCACCCTGTGTCTGTGCAGAGCCTGTCAAACTGGGGTTGTCCATTGTCTCCGGGTGTCTACTTAAATGTTTTTGAAAAACAGATCTGCATGGTCACTGGGTTTTATTGAAATCTAGAGGAGATAAAATTCTAGCTATTAGAACGTGTCTCCATATAATCCACACCTAAACTGAACTGCGTGGGCTGCTTGTGTATGCATACATTATGGTGCTCTAGCTTTCTGTAATAATCAAACCCAGCTGCTTTACTTGGTGGCTTTGGTGAGCTCCCTTTGGTTTTCTGCTCATCCAGTTCTCTAGGACCAGAGCTCCCACAGGCATTGTCTTCCAGCCCTTCCTCTGGCAGGCCCCTTTGTGCTGACAGAGCTGCAAGGCATCCAGGTGACTCCCCTTGAGGGTGGCCATGGGTCCAGTCAGGGCATTGACTGGGGCAGGGCAGCCCTGCCTGTCTGCACGTGCCAGTGCCCACATGTGTTATCGCGTTACCTGATGTGCTTTACTGGTGAGGTCTGCAGGTGTCAGGGTGAGGGCCTGGTGCACAGTAACAGGGAGAGGTTTGGAAACATCTGGATAATGACTCAGATCTGCAGCCCAGTCTGACAGCTGCCTTTCTGTTGCAGGAAATGATGTTGGTCGGAGCTCCTATGGGGCCATGCAAGTGAAGCAGGTGTTCGACTATGCCTACATTGTTCTCAGCCATGCTGTGTCCCCCCTTGCCAGGTCCTACCCCAACCGAGACTCAGAAAGGTAACAGAGGGCCTGCGTCCTCGCCTGGGCTCCCAGATCCTTGGGGTAGCAGCTGCAGCCACTGGTCCCACGTCCTGCTGTGCACGTGCTCACAGGCGCGCTGCTGTGCTTCAGCAGAACTGGCGGGTGTTGATATTGCAGTCATTTCTTCTTTGGGGCATTGACACTTGTCAGAGCATGATGGAGGGGCACCTGGTTTTGAAAGCTTTGGGGTGTGCTGTCCCTCAGGCCACCTTCACACAGATGCAGCAGCCTCTGCGTGATGCCGCACAGCCCTTCTCATGTGCAGTGGCCCACACTCTGCCGTTCGGAGCCTTTTTACAGGGCTCTCTTAGGAAGCCAAAAATACTCTGACCCCCGGGGGTACTGCTGTGGCATTGGGGGTGGAAGTGGTGAGGAAGTGGGAGTGGGCAGGAAGGAGAAAGTGGCGTGTAGACTAGGGTGGATGGTGCCCTGGGGACAGATGTTTCTCTGTGGGGCCTGCTTGATGGAGTTAACAGATTGCAAGCCCCCTCAGCTGTCCTTCTCCATGCTCGTGCTGGTAAAAGTGTGCTTTTAGTTCAGGCCCAGGCCTCCGCTAGCCACTAGGTGCCACCTCCGTTCTCAGCTGTGAGCAGTGAGAGAAGTAAGTGTCAGGCTAAGGTATCTGTGGGTGGGGTGCTGGCCTGCCCCACCTACAAACTGGATTTAAGCAGTCCTATGTAGACAGACTTCTGTGTAAGTGAACCTGCTTTTTCCATACCATGATCTCAGATTACACTGGAGCTCAGAAATGGAAGATGTAAATACATTGTGAAGTCCCGTTAGCTCATGTCCTCCCTGGCTTGGTACTGTCGTAAGGTGAAGCAGGTTCTCCGGGGCCCCGGGCTCCCCCCGCCCTGTGACACTGCTGACGTCTGGTATTGCCCTTGCAGTACCTTAGGAAGAATCATCAAGGTAACTCAGGAAGTGATCGACTACCGGCGGTGGATCAAAGAGAAGTGGGGCGGCAGAGTGCACCCGCTGCCCGACCTGGGTGAGGTCCCTGCTTCCTTCTATTACTGCGTGCCCCTGGATACCCGGGGTGCCTCCTTGTCCTTCATGGTAGTGCGTGTGGACCAGGAAAGTTTCTAGCTTTTCCTGGGCAGCATTTAATTAAAAACTGTAAGCCCAAGGCCAGCCTTGTCTAGCAGAAATACAGCTTGTGCCATATGTGGAATTTTAAGGAATCTAGTGGCAGCATTAGGGATATGAGAAGCAGCAGGTGAGATTCACTTTAATAGTCTGTTTTATCCAACTTAGTTGAAAGTGTTAACATTTCAACATGTAATTATTATTGAGATATTTGGTACCCTGTTTTTGTACTGCCTTAGAATCTAGTGTGTATTTGTATTTGTAGCACATCCTAACTGGGGCGCCCAGTGTCCAGCAGCAGAAATGGGATTTCCCGGAAGCTGGAAATGGGAGGGGATTTGCATACCCATTAGATGTTACAAGTGTATTTGAAATGAACATAGCTTTTATGATTAGATTAATTAAAATTGAGATTCAGGCTTGCTAGCAGCATTCCAAGGCTCAGCCGTGCTAGGGGGTGGTGGCTGTTGGCCAGGGCAGCAAAGTACTTGGTGCTAACCTAGGCTCTGTTTTTGACCAGACAATAGGATTAAGGTGAAAGAGCGAGTCTCCACATGCAACGGAGAGCAGACACAGGGCCGGGAGCCTGGGTCGCCCTACAGCCAGCGCCTGACCCTGTCGCTGTCCAGTCCCCAGCTCCTCTCTTCGGGCTCTTCTGCATCTTCTGTGTCTTCGCTGTCTGGAAGTGACATTGTGAGTGCCCTGGTTCTGCCCCTCCTCTGTGTGACTATTGGGCTTGTGCTCTCGGGAGGCAGCCACCACTGTGTGTTCTGTTGCAGTCGCTGCCCCTGTGCACACTCCCCCAGTCAGCATGGCCCTCAGCAACCGGTGGTCCACATAGTGTGCCACTGCCCTCGCAGCTGAGCCAAAGGACTGTCGGCAATAGTTTTATGAAACTATTGAGTGGAGGTGACTCATCGGTATTTATTTTGTTACAATCTTCACAGTGCTGAGTTCCAGGCAGAAATGTAGTGAGTGTGGCCTCTGCTGTTCAGAGGTCGGGGTTTGTGCAGGCTTCTCGCGTCTACCAGAAGCTGTGCTCCCTGGTGTTGAGCTCCTGTCTCTGTGCCGGATTGCAGGACTCGGACACACCGCCCTGCACTACGCCCAGTGTCTACCAGTTCAGTCTGCAGGCGCCCACGGCTCTCGTGGCCAGCTTACCTGCCGCCCTGCCCATGCCCGGTGGCAAACCTCAGTCTACCCCTTCCCGAACGCTGATAATGACAACCAACAATCAGGTATGTGCGTCATCTGGGCTTGGTGCCCAGGCTGTGAAGGCCATGGGAAGGGATTAGTGCCGCTTTTGATTTACAAAAAGAACTTTTAAAATCTTCGATGGGTTTATATTTCTATTTTATTGTACAAATTGTCTTTTTTTGTGTGTGGATAGAGTATAATTCCCATCAATCTAAAAAATGCCATCTTGTAACACCATTGGCCTGAAGTCACAATGTCCAGCTTTAGCAGCAAGGTGACCTGCCTCTTTGAGGCCCAAAGTGGCCTTTGGCAGCCAGAGCCACCCCAACTGTCTCTTGCAGCAGCTCTGTGGGCAGCCTGAGACTGCATCCTTGTCATCCTGAAAGAGGTTCTGATGCAGTCACTCAGCCTGTCACAGTCTTTTCCATGTCTTTAACTAGGCACTGGGTAAACTTTGTTAGAATCTGCTGGTCTTGGTGTTTAGATAAAATTAGAGGTCTAAGGGAGAATTTGGTAAGCCTTCAGTTTTGTATCTACATCCCCATTATACCTCAGTGGAACATGTATAAATCTAGCATGGTCATTCATGTAAAAGGAGAGTAAAATTGATTTTGAGATGTGGGTTCTGTTGAGTTTAAATTGAGCCAGAGGCATGCAGACGAGTTTGTTGGCATGCTAGGGTATAGCAGTGGTGTCTCTGTCACCTTGGTTGCCATTTTCCACTCTGACCCTGGCTGCAGCATCTGACTCTGGCATGGAGTGGTTTATTTAGGCCTTGTAAGGTGTGACGTTTGAGAGCCCAGTGCAGACTTCGTCCCTGCTGTTGCCAGTAGTTGGGGTGGTAGTGACAAGGGCCCACAGCATGGAAGGAGAGTCCCTACATGGCTCAGGTGGTAGCATACATTCATGTGTGTGTCATTTGCTAACTCCATGAGCAGGGCTACAATGTGAAGGTCTCTGAAATGTTCAGACAAGGCCGAGAGCACTTTCTTACAGTGCTGCTCCATGAAAATGAAATAAAACCCCGTCTGAAGATGTGTGTTCCTGTCCAGTGCAGCTTACTGAGTAGGGAGCTCCCCTTGGCCTGGTTTCCATGTCCGATGGGGTGAAGCACAGCCTGTTAGTGGGTAGGCAGCGCCAGCCAAGGCTGAGGGCCCTGTTCTCTTGGGAGCCGTGTTCCAGGGAGGGCAGCCCTTGTTGAAGAGCAGTTTGGTAGAGGGCAGGCCGTGACCAGTGGGAAGAGCAGCGGCCGAGCTGTGCTTTGCCCCACGGCAGCTGCTCATCTCTGTCCCCTGGGGACCTGTCCCCCAAGACAGAAATGAGATGGGGATGAAGATTTGGAGAAGGCCGCGCTGGATAGGACACAAGGACCCTGTGCTTCACCCCTGTTGTAGGGATGGTGGGCAGAGTTGGGGATTCCCCTAAGGTTCTTCCCTGGGACAAAAGTGGCAGCTTGCTGGTGACAGGTTACCTGGGCTCTTGGTTTGCTCCAGTCAGCTTTAAACCCACATGACCAGGATTCTGGGCATATTTAGAACATAAGCCATTTCCAGCTAATGGAAGTACCATCGGGTTGCCTCCAAGTGGGCCTGTGCTCAGAGCAGCCCGGGCCAGTCCCGCGGACCTGGCTCACGTGCTGCACTGTGCCTGTCTCTGTTTGCTCCTAGGCCAGGTTCACCATCCCCCCTCCGACCCTGGGGGTTGCCGCTGTCCCTTGCAGACAAGCTGGCGTGGAAGGAACCACGTCCTTGAAGGCCGTGCACCACATGTCCTCCCCAGCCATTCCCTCGGCGTCCCCCAACCCGCTGTCCAGCCCTCACCTGTACCATAAGGAGCATACCCCCCTCAGCTGTGCCATAAGGTGCCTTCCCTTGCGCGTGTGTTTCCTCCCCAGCAGTGGAACAGTGTTAAATCATTCAAGAAGAAATAGTCTCCCTACTCCCCATAAGCAGCTCTTAACGCCCTGCTGAGCTGCCCCGCATAAAAATGAGGTCTGATATAGGCAAAGGTCAGGAAGATGATCTTTTTTCCTTATTTACATTCATTTTATGCTGAATAGTTGGTTTTCTGCCAAGTAATGTAGTTGTCAAGAAGCAAACACTAAACCATGAGTCAGTCTTGCTGGACCTCTAGGTGAGGTGCTGTGTCCACCAGCTGCTGCTTCCCACGCTGGGCCGAGGGGACATGATGGGTGGTGGGCTGCCTTGGGGTGATTCTCCCCAAGTCTCAGGAGGATCTAGACTGCTTCTTTAGGCCTTGGCTTATCTCTGCCTTGCCTGGTGCAATAGAGTGCGTGTGAAAGGAGCTTGCAGTTGAGTCCCATGCTTGCAACATGCCTGTGTGTGTGTGTGTGTGTGTGTGTGTGTGTGTGTGTGTGTGTCCCCAACCCCCAGGCTCCCTGGCACTGGTTCCATGCCACTCAGCCAGTCAGTGGAATCCCACTTTGTGGTATGTTTATTCTCGGGCCAGCTCAAGTGCCATGTCAGGAGACTCCACTTCTTAGTCCCTTGGAAGTGGTGTAGTAGAGCAGCCCTTCCCAGAGCTGCCCTTCCTGACACCACGGTGCTCTGTCCCACTGCTGTACCGACAATCAGTGTTCCTGCAGGGAGGTGGCAGGCTTGCATGAGGCCAGGCAACCTCTTTCACTTTGCTGTGGCTTGCTCTTTGCTGGGCTTCTGAAGCACCTGGCAGTATGCTGAGCTTGGGGAGGCAGCTTGAGCACAAGCGGCCTTGGGGGTCTGGCACGAGAGCAAGGTACCGGCTGCGGAGGGGGAACAAGGGCTTCTTACCCTGCAGACCATCGGCAAGTTGGCTGCAAGCCTGGGATCAGTGGAGCTTGCGGCGGCCTGCCCTGGCCTGAGAGTCCAGGGACAAGTAACTGTCTGTTCTGGGAGGTCAAGTGCACAGTTTCCATCCCGTGGCCAGTGCCTGCACACTCTTGGCCTCTAGTGCCTCTGGCGTTTCCCCCTTGGAGATGAGTGAGGCTTTCTGCTGCTGCTGTGGTGGGCATGGGCTCTGCCTGCTGCTGTGCCCTGACTTTCTCTTTGTCTCTGCAGCAGCACAATGGCATGAAGCTGTCCATGAAAGGGTCCCACGGCCACACACAGGGTGGTGGCTACAGCTCAGTGGGCAATGGAGGTGTACGACCACCCGTGGGCAATCGGGGCCACCACCAGTACAACCACATTGGCTGGAGGAGGAAAAAACACACGCACACGAGGGACAGCCTGCCTGTGAGTCTCAGCAGATAATGGCTCCAGGCCTTGGCACCGCAGGGCCCGAGACCAGAGCCCAGCACTCCGCTGCAGCCTCGGCGCCCACTGATCACTCTGCATGTTCCTTCGTGTGGTGGTCACGTCCATCTCCAACAACTCCGTGCTCATCTGTGAAGCCTTATTGCCGTGGACGAGCTCTGCCTCCCGGAGTCTGCACTCAGGGGAGCTGAGGACGGGAGCTTGCTTGCTGACTTGCAGCAGCCCTGCCTGCCCCTGGCTGGTGGAAGTTTTCGTTTCCTATTGTCAAGCGACAGAGGAGTTAAGGCCGTTCCCACACACTTCCCAGTGGGTAGGGTTGGAGGCCTCGTGTTACTGCCCTTGCGTTTTGTTTGAGACTTCAGAACTCTTTTTCTATGTAAATACCGAAAACTTATGATTTGTGCAATAATCAGATATTTTTTATTTAATTTCATATTTTCACATAAGTTATATTTAAGGGAGGAGGGAATTTTTTTAAACAAGCTTAGATCCTTTCCCAAGTTGCATTTTCTAAGTTGGGTTCACCGTGTTGGCTGGTTGTCTGATAAGCATTATGAACACCATGACATGAGGGATTTGGGGTTTCATTTGCTGTCTTTTCTTTTGGTCAGAGGTACGTGGAGGGGGCCACGTTCCCAGCCAGTTCTGGGGGGAGTTTGTCAGGTCTGAGGCCCCGTCCACCAGCCCTGCCCTGAGCTGCAGGCCACTGGCCCGCTCTGACCATGAGTTCAAATGTTTTGGTTTTGGTTCTTTTAAACTAGACAACAAATCCAGCATTTAAAGTGCCAGAGTATAACTTTCTAGGGGAAGAGGTGGTCACATTAAAACCCTTCAGTGCAGTGTGACCCTGGAAAGGCCTCAGTCAGTCTCAGTGGCATGGCCTGTAATGACGGCTGGGGTTCATTACAGACAATGGCACCCAGTTTTGGGAATGTGGAGAAAGGAATTCCGTTGATTCCGTGGAGGAATCTGCATAGCCGTATGCATTCGTTCTGTAAGAGCGGATACCGAGAAGTACCTGCGCTGCCTGCCAGCGCACCACCACATGGCATGCTCGGCGGGAGCATGCCTGCGTGTCCAGGTGGCACCGCCGGCACCGGAGCACGCAGGTACACTGTGCAGGTGTGCTCTGCCACCACGACCACCGTCTCTGTTACCTTTTTGTGAATAAGAATCTTTCCACCCTGCCAGCCCTGAGTTTGCAGGACTCTGCAGCTGTTGCCGAGGGGGCTGCATCCTGGATTCTGCTCTGCCAGGGCTGGGGGCCTGCTGCACACTACAAGAGGCTCGTCTCGGGAGCCCACGGTGGAGGCTGTCCAGCGGGAAGCTCACGGCCGCTGCCTGTGGATGTGCGGCGGTGGAGTGCCAGGCCAATGTCTGCTGGTGATGGACACGGTGAGGGCGAGCTTGCCCAGCAGTCTGCCCGTGAAGCAAACCAGGCCTGTGGCCGGCGCTGTGCACTGTGCACGGGAGAGTCCAGGCACTGTGGCACAGGTGTCTGCAGTCCGTGGCGGTTGGAATCACCCAAGATATTTAAAAATATTTAAATTATGAACCTGTTGGTAAAGAGTATTTATAAACACCGATCCGTAGGCACGTACTAATCTCTGCACATTAGCAATACTGACTGTAAACCTACACTAGGAGAACCACTGTGGGCCGGCGGCGGCGCCCAGCAGGTGCGAGCTTGGCCTTCAACCGCGGTGCGGGCGCTCATCGTCCCCCTTGCGGTGAGCAGATGAATTGGCCTGGCTGCCTCGGTGGTCCTGCACTACAGGTTTAACAAAGAGACACCATGTTTAGATTTTTTGGTGCGCAGACAACGATGTGGAAGCTAAAATTGACATATTTTTATGTAAAGTTTTTCTATACTTTGGTTTTTAATAAACTTTGGAAAGCAGTTTTGTGTGAATCGATGTTTTCATGGGCAAGGTGGTTTCTGCCATAGCCAGTGCCTGGTTCATGGAGGAATCACAGAAGGCTGGTGCTGTCCCAGCAGGTGGGACAGCTGGTCGTGGGTCTTCCCTGGGTGACCACATGGGGCAGGGTCCAGGCACTGTGCCGGGCCGAGTGGGATGAGGCCCGACGTGCTCTGTCCCTGGTCTGGGCCCCGTGGCCTCCCAGGGCCCTTGGACAGTCCTGTGTGCCTGTTCTGACAGGCTCACCTGTGCACGCAGACCTTGGCTTACTGACTGTCACCGCATACTTCAGTGACCAGCCGGTCACAGCGCTTAAGATGCAGTTTAGCGGGCTGGGGATGTAGCTCAGTGGTAGAGTGCTTGTCCGGCATCACAAGGCCCCGAGTTCAATTCCCGGTATCACCAAAAAAAAGATTCAGTTTAGGCTTGCATTTTCACAGTGACCCTGCATGTCACCCTAGGGTGTCTTCGCGAGCCATCAGCCACTGACCCTGGTGCAGGAATGGGTGTCTGGATACTGTGCTCATCCTGCCTTCCTCCCACACGAGTTAATACTGTGTGGTGACAGTCTGGCCTAGTCATTTTCTTGTCACTGTGATGTGGCCTCCGCACCCACACCTTGGAGGAGGGGTTATTTTGGCCCATAGGTCATAGAAGGTTAAGCCCGTGGTTTGCTGCTCCAAGGCAGAAACAGCCTGTGCTGGAGGAGGAGCGCTGCTCAAGCCAGTGAAGGTGGGGGAAGGGAGCCAGGGCACTGCCTGCCCTTCCAGGGCATGCCCAGTGACCGCCCCCAGCCGCGCCCACCTCCTAATTTGCAGCTCTGAAGTGGTCCACGGTCGATCGCTGAGGAGCCCGGGGCTCCATGATACCATTGCCTTCCACCCAGGAGGCTGTGGGACATTTAGGCCTGAACCACGACGAAGGCACAGCAGGAGTGGAGAGCAGCTGGCTCCTGTACAGTGTAGGGGGAGCCCTGTGGATCTGGGGTGAGGCGAGAGGTAGTGAGGCATGGCCACTTCAAATCCAAGAGCCCCGGAGCAGGGCAGCCACATGGGCTCAGAGACCCTGCACCTGCTGAGCCGGAGCAGGGGTCACCCAGGGAGGGGAGGGAGGGAGGATTGCTGCTACCTGCTGCCAGTCCCGTCGGACCTGCTCTGGAGGTGCCGGGAGTGAGTGAGTCTGCCGTGTGGCCCTGTTGGGTGAGCAGGTGTGTCTGGCTCTTCCTAGCCGGAGCCTGTGCCCTCCCTGTTCCTTGCGGCCACCATGGCTTCGCTGTGTCCACTCAGCTCCCTGCAAGAAGATTGCCCCCATCTCTCAGGACACTGTTGGCTCTGACCCCATAGTTATGAGTAAAGCCCTGCTGCCAGCTGCGCTGCAGTGAGCTGCGTGGTGGTGTCCAGGGTGTGGTCATGTATGTGACCCTGATACGTGTGCAGCTGCATTTCATGCTAACCACATGCCAGGGATGGTCTCCATGAGGATCCAGGTGGTCGGGGAACTGATTTAGAGCGGGTGGTGGCTGCCTTTAGAAATACCTCCCTCTGCCGGTTGTTTGAGAACAGCAGCAAGCATGTGACTGTGACTCTGTGGCCAGTGGGGGGTGGGACCGAAGAAGCCCAGTGGCCTTGTTCCTTCACACATACCAGGGTGTGAAGGAGGGCTAGGTGTTGATTTGAGAGCCTCAGCCCCTGGGGAGTAGAGCCAGGCACCTGGTGTTTAGGTGCTTCTAGAAAAGGGAAGAATCTTGAGTGTCACGGGGAGCTGAGTGTCCTTGGTACAGTGGGCTGTGGGTGAGGATACTGAGGCTTCCTGCCAGTGGCTGCTCCTCCCTGGGAGCACAGGTGGTGTCCTTACCAGCTGGAGGGCCAGTCTTCAGGTCTGGAGAGCTTTGCAGGGAAGCGGACCCTCCAAGTCTCTTCAGCAAATCTGGACCCTAAACCATGACCTGGATGTGCTGGGCTGGGAGAACCCTGGGGGTCAGTGAGAGAAGAGAGACAGCCACATAGCTGGCCTCTCAGGCCAGGTGACCAGTGACAGTGGAGCTGCTAGAGCACTCTCTGGCCGACAGCAGCCAGAGTGAGGAGTCCCTGGGTGCTCGGAAGACTGCCCTGTGTGACTGCAGCCACCAGCTTCAATACCATGGTGGGCTAGGCTGTGCTCTCAGCAGCAGCAGCAGGGGAGGAAGCCATTCTGCCCTGGGCTCCATGCCTACAGGGATGGTGTGAAACCCTGCCCGGAGTCCTGCTGCTGTGGAGAAATGAGACAACCCGTCCTCTGCCCAGAGCGGCCAACCTTCCG